CCCCAGCCACCCTCCCATCTGGCAGCCATCAAAATGTTCTCTATATCTATGAGTTTGTTTCTGTTTTGTTTGTTTATTCTTTAGATTTCACATATAAGTGAAATCTCGTTGCATCTGTCTTTGACCACTCAACACAGTATGCTCCACGTCCATCCATCCCACCGCAGATGGCAAGAACCCATTTCCTTCCCTGGCCAAGCAATATTCCATTGTATATATGTACCACCTCCCCTTTATCCATTCTTTCATTGACAGACACCCAGGCTGCCTCCACTTCTTGGCCATAGTAAACAATGCAACAAACATGGATGCACACAGCCCCTAGAAGTAGCATTTGGGTTTCTTGAGATAATACCCTGAAGTGGGATTACTGGGTCCTTCTTTGTCTCTTGTTATAGCCTTTGTTTTAAAGTCTATTTTGTCTGGTATAAGTATTGCTACCTCAGCTTTTGGAGGGTTTTTTGTGTTTGTTTTTTTCATTTCCGTTTTCATGAAATATCTTTTTCCATCCCTTTACACTCCATTGGCATGTGTATTTAAATCTGAAGTGAGTCTCTTGTAGGCATCATATGTAAGGGTCTTGTTTTCTTATCCATTCAACCATTCTATGTATTTTGAGTGGAGCATTTAACCCATTTACATTGAAAGTAATTGTTGATATGTGGCTTATTGCTATTTTAGTCATAATTTTCATCTTTTTTCCCCCCCACCTTAAAGAAACCCCTCTAACATTCCTTGTAATACTGGCTTGGTGGTGATGAACTCCTTTAGCTTTTTCTTGTCTTGGAAGCTCTTATCTGTCCTTTGATTCTAAACAATAGCTTTGCTGGGTAAAATAATCTTGGTTGTAGGTCCTTGCTTTTCATCACATTGAATATTTTGTGCCAATCCCTTCTGGCCTGCAAAGGTTCTGTTGAGAAAACAGCTGACAATCTTACGGAGCTCCCTTGTAAGTTACTAGTTGCCTTCCTCTTGCTTTTAGGATTCTCTGTCTTTAATTTTTGCCATTTTAATTATATTGTGTCTTGGTGTGGGCCTGTTTGGGTTCATCTTGTTTGGAACTCTGTGCTTCCTGGACTGACTTGTATGTCTGTTTCATCCACCAGGTTAGGAAAGTTTTCAGTCATATTTGTTCAAATAGGTTCTCAATTTCTTGCTTTCTCCTCTTTCTGGTGCCCCTATGATGCAAATGTTGTTATGCTTCATGCTGTTCCAGAGGTCTCTTAAACTATCCTCCTTTTTTAAAATTATTTTTTCTTTTTGCTCTTCTGATTGGGTGTTTTCTGCTACCTTGTCTTCCAAATCGTTAACTGAATCCTGTGCTTCATCTAGTCTGCTGGTGATTTCCCTTCTAGTGCATTTTTTATTTGTTATTGTATTCTTCATTTCTGACTGGTTCTTTTTTATGGCTTCTGTGTCCTTTTTTATGTTTGCTATCTCTTTGTTGTTCTAAATTCCTTGAGCATCTTTATAACCATTGTTTTGAACTCTGTCTCTGGTAGGTTGCTTGCCTCCATTTTATTTAGTTCTTTTTCTGGAGTTTTCTCCTTTCATTTGAGATGTATTTCTTTGTTTCCTCATTTTGGCTACCTCTCCATGTTTGTTTCTATGTATTAGGTAAATCTGCTACATCCCCCAGCCTTGACCAGGTGGCATTATGTAGTAAGTGCCCTGTGGGTCCAGTGGCACAGCCTGCCTGGTCACCTAAGCTGGGTGCTCCAGGAGTGTCCCTTGTGTGGGTTGTATGTGCCCTCCTGTTGTAGTTCAGACTTGGTTGCTATTGGCATTTCAATGGGTGGTATTGACCCTCAGGCTGATTGGCTGTGGGATTTTGCCACATCCACAGCTTACAGGCTGCTGTGTGGGGGACTTACCCCACTTAGCAGGATTCACCCTAGTAGGCTCTGGTGCCTTTTGAGACTGCCCTTTGTGTGTGCTGCCTGTGGGGCTAATTGGGCAGTGCTCTGCTGTGGTCTGAAGCCAACTTTCAAGTATGTTGGTTCTGGGGCCTCTTGGGAGGGGCTTCAGTGCAGGCCATGTCACCCACTGCCTGTGACCAGCCAGGGACCACCTGATATGAGCTACAGAGTAATTCATGGTTTTTTTGCTGCCTGTGCTAACCCTGGAGGTGTGTGGGAGAGACCATGCTGCAAAAAAAGGATGTCTGTCACCAGTACCAGGCCTGGGGTATCTCCACAAAATGCCAGGACACCCTGAGGCCTACTGCCACCTGCCAGCTCCCTTAAGGCTTAGCCACTGATGAAGCCTTGTGTGTTATGCAAGTTGAGTGAGACCAGGTCTCTGAACCACTATAGTGGGAACACCTGTGGTCACCAGGTTAATGTAAATTGAGGTTTGGTGCCAGTGCTAGCCTGAAGCTACTCAGCGACGAAAGTCTCAGAGCACACTGAGGCCAGTCACCACCCGCCTGGGGTTTGTCGGACTCTGATAGTTTTCCAAGAAAAAGTGCAATGCAGGCGGGGCTGGCTGCTCTTGGAGAAAGTACCTCCATCATTGGGTGGGGTAGGGACCCAGTGAGTCAGCAAGGTGGAGCTGCAGCGTTCATTACACCAATCAGATTCAGGTTTGGCTGTAAGCATGGGGGAGGGCTCAACAGGAAAAATGGTGCCAGCTTGCCAACTGCACAGGAGAAGGAACCGTCAGGGAAAATGTTGACCTCCTGCCCGTGTCAACCACACAACTGAGTCTACTGACACCTGCCTCCCTTCCCCCCGCGAGTTACTGTCCCTTCACTGGAGCCCAAGGTGAGTGCCTGGGAGTGAGTCTGTGCACAACCCTTTAACAGGACATGTGGGTTTACTGCTGCTTTCCTTCCCCCCTGGATGGTTGGAATCCCCACTGTTTTTCATAGCCAGTTGTGAGGGATCCTCTTACTAGCACCAGTACTCTGGGTTGGGGAGGCCAGTGTAGAGCTGGGGTCCCTCACTCCTCCAGGGGGAACCTCTGCGGTGGAGATATCCCTCTTCCCAACCATCACATGGACTTAGTTCCGTGTCTTTGACCCTCCTACCAGTCTCAACGTGGCTTTTTCTTTATATCCTTAGTTATAAAACTTCTGTTCAGCCAGACTTCAGATGGTTCTCTAGGTTGATTGTTCTGTAATTTAGTTGTAATTTTAATTTGTTCACAGAAGGAGGCAGGCACGTTGTTTATCTACTCTGCCATCTTGGGTCTCCCCACTACTATACTTACTTTTAATTTCTTTAGAGTATTCTAGAATTGATGCAAGTTTCCCAACCTTAAATCTCCCCACCTATTTACAGTTATAGGTAGGAATCATTATTTCAAATAAATTAAATACACATTTAAAATGTTTGTGTATTAGAAGAGCTGTTTCTAGCTATTGCGATTCAATTTCAGTTAGGCATTCTTTCCCCTAACTGTATCTACACTTCACAGGGCATTACCATCTGTCAGACCAGTTGCTTCTTAAAACCAGCAACTGCTAGTTTTATTTTGTTAATTTTTAAAAAATATTTATTTTTAAAAAGTAATCTAGGCAGTGAGCATTTCCCCCTACCTCTTTGTGGGCATATGGGACAACCATTACTTTTTATTATAGGTATTTGGTTGTCGGAAAAGTCATGACACATTTTTGCAACAAAAAACAGAAAAAAATACGTCACGACTTTTCCGACAACCCAATAGTTGCTCATGTTCCCAGAACATAATTATTAGATTTGCAGTTCTAGAAAAACAGCCATGTGGACATTTGCATGTGATGCCTTTGAACTTTGAAAATTATTGATGTTTTTGGAAACTTTAGGCTGACCTACTTTAATTTTTTTTCAATTGGAAAAAAATTTTTTATTATTAGTTTCAGGTATATAATTATTAAGCTCATTGTCAGATAATACACTAGTTGGTTATTAGTATCCCCTCAGGTAAGTCTACTTACCTTGAGATTCTAAATCAGTTATTTAAATTAAGTGTTTACTGGAAATAATGTTAGGGTAGTATAAAATTGTGAGAAATGTTCTGAGTTGTGTGCCTATCTGCCTCAACTTTCTCTAGCATTAATTGCCCCAGGTCGTGACTGTCTTCAACTTTGTGATGATATTCATTACTGTATCAGGTGTCTAGTGGGTGAAGAATATAGAGATTACCAAAACTACTTTTTTTTCTTTTTTTTTAAAGATTTTATTGGGGAATCGGGGGAAGGGGAACAGATAAGGTGCTGTCATTTTTGTTCTTCAGTCTAGTGGAGGACGTTGCTTCACTGGCCCATGTTGGTATTTTCATTGTGCTCTTCCCAGGTGAGGCAGATCAGTCGCTGGCCTCTGGACAGCCACTCATGGCAGCTCTTGGCAGCTCACACCAGCTGCCAGCCGCTCACGCTGGCTGCTGGCCACACACGGTAGCTTATAGCAGCCGACTGCAACAGGGGCTGTAGCCTACGCCATCGCCAGTGACTCATGGCAGCCCAGCTCCAGGTCAAGCTGTTGTTCCCATCTTAGCTGTAGAGGGCACAGTGTCACTGGCCCCATGTGGGATCCGAACCAGGGCCCTGCTGCTCAGAGCTGGCGTCCCAAGCCAGCTCTTAACCAATGTGCCACTCGGCTGGCCCCCAAAACTTCTTTTTAAACATAGATATCTTTTCTTTGTACTTACCATCCCCTTCCCCTCAAAAGTAGAATGTTCTTTCTCATTACATTGTATATATTTGACATTCAAATAATTTTTAATTGGCCTTGATTAAAATAATTAGGGATTTTCTTTCATACAGATGTCTACCTACTTTTATATGCTTAATCATCCACAAGAGGACTTTATTCCTGTCATTTCTCTAATGCCACAGATAGAACGTGCTTCAGCGTGTAAATGTAACCCTATGAATGGGGTCAGGAAAAGTGAAGCATTATGTACCTATATGTTAATTTATATTAGTCTGATAGGTTCTTTGGAAGATTATATCTTTTTTTTTTTTCCTGTGGGAGAGGGAGCAGATCTGCAGTAGTCATCAGTTAAAGACACAACACTAGAAGAGAGAAACATTTTTAATTCAAATTCTCATTTAATCAAAAGTCAAATACTTGATCAGTGGAATTTGTTGAATTAGTGAAACATACAATAATTAAAAGACAGTAAACTTTTAGAATTATGTTTTATCCAATCATTGAATTATATCTTCATTTTACTTTTACTGTATCTGTAGTTTGTATCTTAATCAAAATAACTAAAAAATATTGTATAGACAGCTCAAACTAAAGATCACCAGGTGTTTTGTTTCAGAGCTGAGTTTTGTGTCCTGGAAAGTAGTTCCCAGAACTTAGATGAGATTGGGAAAGACATTGTCCAGAAGAGTTCCCCCAAAATGCCCTTTTTGGGTTCATAAAAATCTCAAGTATTAATAATGCTAGAAGCCCGCTCTGAAGGCCTTCTATACTTCAACTACCTGAATGTGCCTTTCTGAGTATTACCAATTATTCCAGAAAATAAGCATAAATATAACTGCTGTTGTTAACATTTATACTCATGTACTTTTCTAGTAGTTGTGATTATTTTTAGTTGCTTATGCCCCAGATATTATATTTGAATAATATTCCATGTTTTTAACATGAAATATTGCAGTCCAACATGCACTGATCTCTCAGGTAGGAAAGTTGGGATAAGTTATATTATTAATATAGAAATTTGAGAATAAATTAGCTTTTACTAATTCATTTGCCTTATACATACAATAATTCTAAACCAACAACACAACACCTATTCTCTAAATTTAGAGTCAATGAAGTCTATCCTTTTCTGCTGTATGTCGGACAGTTAATATTGTGCAATTGGAGCGATCAAGATACTAGCAAATCCTGGTGATCACAGAAGAGTAATCTTCCCCACTTTGTAGAAAAAGACTAAAGCTAGCATATAAAATTTTCTTTGAAATTTTCCTTTCCTCAATGGCAAAGATCAGGGGATTGGGTTTTTATATGATTCTAGCCTAGGACCTTCCTCTCCATCTAGCCACTCTAATTAAGGCCTGAGCAAAATAAGTTTAAATATAAGAGGTTTGGTGACTTTAATGAACAAGAAGGAAACTCTTGAGAGATGGTAATCAGGAAAACTGGTGATTCAAATAATTTAGAAATAATAGTTGTCAAATTCAAATTATGAGAACTAATTTTTACTTAAAAGCATAATAAACTGAGTTTCAATGCAAATATGCTTGGGCAATATAATTATTTCCACCTCTTGGTTCATTTTAGGTTGCAGAAATGGGTATAGTTAAGAAAATGTTAAGTTTAAGCTCACTTTTCTAATTCCCTTAACCCTCAACCAGGACTCACACACAGTATAACACAAAAAAAGAAGCAGGGATTTTTCAGTGGATAATTAGTTCTCTTACAGCATTTGTGAGGATGTTGAGACCATTCTTCCACTTCTCTTAATTATAAACCTTTGTACTGGATGCTGCAGAATGGTTCCAAGGATAGAACTGACTTTCTTTAGCATATTTCAGCTTCTATGTGTCCTTATGTTTATTGAGTTGAAATTAGTCTGCTCAAGGAGAAAGAGGCTAAATATGGAAAGATAGGTGTACTTTGGTGTTTTATATTCAAGGACATAGAATAGTATTAGGAAACGATCTGGAAATAATTTTTTCCTAAAATGTGTGTGGTTATAGGCTAGCAAATGACTTTCCTTCTCTCACTGCAATAAAAAGAATATATAGTTAAGAAACAGGGATACATATCTGACAGCATATTTGATGGGTAATGAGGCTGGGCATGTTCTTTGATAACTTCCTAATCTTGAGAACCACAGTTTGCTGTTTTAGAGGTATCTGAGAGGTTCCAGATCCAAGGAGACTGCCAAATGTTCTTAAACCTTGAGTGTGCTGGATGCTCTAAAGTAGGAGAGGAATTTGTAACAGAAGTTCACGATGAAGAACCAGACGTTCCGAGCCATCTGAGATCTTGCAATGAGAAGGCGCCAGGCAATGAGGAAGAGGGCGGTGTTAAAGAGGTAGTGAATATTTCGGAGCCTGGGGAACAGACATAGATAACCAAAGTTAAAATAGTTCCAAACCCAACTGTGTTATCTGAAGTGTAAATGTGTCTTTTCCTGGCTGTGACCAGCAAATCATACACAAGTGCTCACAGGCATGACCTGATAGCCTTTGGGTTTTATATCTTTTATTTCCACAACATTCCTGCTCAATAATCAGATTTCCATAATATTCCCCAACTAGTTTCTCTTTCTCACACCTCTCTGTACTTTAACCTATCTTGCAAACATGACTAACACCATCTTCCTGAACTATACTTTGATCATATTACCATATCACACATCTTCACGGGTTCCTGCTCCCTAGAGGGCAAGTCCTAAGGTTCTTAGCCTACTACTCATGGTTCCTCTCTGTTTGCAATTTACTTTTCCATCCTTACCATTGCTACATTAAAAACTCTTTGCTTCTACCAGAATTCTTCCATACTGCTATTAATTCTTTGTCCCTTAGGGGATTTTAAGGTGGTTGAATAACTTGAAGAATGGTTAAGTGATTTGCCCATGTTAAATCTTACTATCAGGTCTCCTGCCTATTGGGTATTTGTTTTCTATATCACATTATGATAGGTTGTGGTAGGAGAATCAGAAAATTTCATTTACATTTTGCTCTTGTACTTAACCATGTGTTACTATGAACAAGTTACCTTCTTTAAGCCTAACTCTCTCTTTGATAATAATGGGATAACAGAAATAATACCTGCCTCATAGGAGTGTGATGACATCTAAATGAAGCAGTGTATTACAGAGCATAGTATACAGGGAAGTACCTGTTATGTAAATGCTCAAAAAATGTTAATTCCTCCCCTCCCCTGCTCTAATTTCATGTCTGGTATAAAATCAGGTACCCTTCATAAGTGCTCAATAAATATTAACTGACTGATTATGCTTACCTTTTTAAGTGTTGCTTTGCTTTGGGAACCCCAGCCATATCCTCTTTCAATAAGTACTTCTTAACTCCTAAAACATAATTTTCAATGTATTCCAACCAGTTCAACTGACGCACGTCAAAGTTGAATACCTGAAAGGCAAAAAGAGAATGGATTGCTAGACTGCACTGGTGGATAATCACTCTGTCCACTTAATGACATTTCTTTTACACAAATGAGTAGCATTCAGTTTAGAAGATTTAGGTTGGACCCTGGCAAAGGAGAGTATTTGAGCTGTTATTTCAAAGGCTCTGACTACGGATTACCATTTGCATAGCAATATTTAAACATAGATCAAGCACAAACATTTGACCTTTAGGAAGTCTTGTGAGTGAAATTTAAGGAACTGGTACTAGTCTGGCGAAAGCTAATTTCATTTTTACTAAATGTGGATTAATTATTACTTTTTTATTTTTTATTTTTTTAAGTTTTTTTATTGGGGAGTTGGGGAAGAGGGATAGCGTTGGGAAATTGCGGAAGGGGAACAGACAAGTTGCTGTCCTGTTTTTGTTCTTCAGTCTAGTTGTGAAGGATGTCGTGTTGTCCTTGTGGCATGACGTCATGTGAAGGCCCATGTTGGTATTATCATTGCGCTCTTCCCGGGTAAGGCAGCTGCTCGCCAGCCATTGGATGGCCACTC